TGATGTACGCAACATTCTACCTTTCGTGTATCCGACCCTATCGAGTTAAACTCTTTCCACCAGCAAATCAGGGAAAAAGCTGTGAAGTCAGTGGCGCAGTGGTAAACTTGGTTGCTTCATGAAAACGTGGCCGGAGTTCTAGTCCCGGTAGTGGCAAGGATATGCACTATTGACGAGCTCTAACGAGAGCGGAACCTGAGTCAAATGCTTCTGTTCGAAAGGGGCCGACCGGAAAGTCTACGGGAATGCGACGGCTGAGAGCAACTGTGGGTAATGTTCAACTTGAAAAAGGTGTGAGTCTATAGTATGGTCGCTGACTGTACGGTCGCTGTTTGGGCGCAAATATTTTGTACATCGCTAGATAATATAATCCTCGAATGGTCTTCAATTCGCTTTGCACAGTCTTGCTGAAGACGATAAGACTAACTGCCGACCTAAAGTCTGAAGCACTTTGTGAGGTACTGGGGAAAAAGTGTATTGCCCGTCGTTTGTCTCATTGTGTTGACGTGGTGAATTACCAAACTAGAGGTGCGAGAATTTCAACTCTCGACGGTATACCTCAACATGGCGACGAGGTGCGTCCAAAAGCCCACAGAGATTGGATTGCAGACAACACGATGGACAGGACAAGCCATCGCCAAACGAGATCCGACCAAAGGACGAGGGGCAGGCGGAAACCCCGCCGACAGAAGGTGTCAGTCCACACACACAACACAGGCAGAAATGCACAAGACATGTAAACGGAAAGCGGGGGGGTTGCTGCGGATCGGAATTCCGGTTCGTAAACGCAAACCATCGAATTGAACAATAAAGATTGTGCTTTGTAGGACTCCTTTTCGCTACACCAAAGTCGGTAACCACCCCTATCACTTTGTCCACACCATGTCTTTTGGTTATCTCAGATACCGCCTGACAACAGCACTAGATAGATTTTTCGGCAAGTTCTCGTATACTCAGTTTTGTCCATTGAAACCGAAAATTTTGTGATGGATAACCAAGTCGGATACGCAGTTATTCCAACACAGCTGAATATCTGAACGCGGTAGTGGGATATGATTAAAGCTCACAGCGGATGAACGGCTGACAACATGGGCGACCGATGAGTCATCACTCAACAAAATCAGGTCAACGGTTAAGAAATGGCAAGCAAAAATCCTCGACAGCAAGCGTCAGCCGAATGCACAGAACCAGGCACGGAAGTACACGGCGTATAACTAGAAACGCCGCAGCGTTGTGGACTGCAATTCCAGTTCATTGACGTGAGCGCATGAGTAGCATGGAAACATACGAATTAAACCAAAAATATCTTGCTTTATTGAACGACTTTTCCTTCTTCCCAAACTTGTTAGTTCACATCTTCGTTAAACCACATTATAGGGAGCAAGTACGAGCGGAAGTGATTGTCATGTAAAGGTTAGATTAGCGCGGGACTACTGCACTTTTGTTTTGGCGGCTTCCCATGGTCACAGGCCTCTAAAACGAGTGAGTGAAAACTTGGAATGATTGAATCAACAGTCCCTTGTTCTTGATGATCTGTTCTGTTAGATGGTTGTAATTGACTGACCGACCCTCGACCAGAGCATGACTGGGTGTGCCTGCCAAATACAGTAGACCAGTCGCTTTATCCAAACCAAACAGTCCGTTTGTGTTGCCAGAAAGAATGTGGTAGCTAATCAAGGCGTTTTCACCCTCATCTGCATCTGTTGCTTGCACATAGGCCAACCTATGCCCCAAAGTTTCGTCTACAGCAATCGCTAACGTGTTTGCCGTTGCATTTGGACTGACAAACAAAGGCCAGTTGTCATTATCGTCCTCCACTACGACTGTCACTGTCGCAGTACCGGTAAGTTGTACATCTTTGATGGACTTAACAGCTGTCTGGCTTATCTGCGTATTCCCATCTCGAGCTAGAACGCGAAACACATAGCGAGCTTGTCTTTCTCGGTCCAACACTTGTCGACTTCTGAGAGAGCCGGTTCGTTGGTCCATGTGAAAAATTAGCGCATCAAGATCATTGGATAAAAAGTAGTGAATGGGTCCAAAATCTTCACTATCCACATCCGTAGCTGAAACGCGTCCAATTTGTGTAGATTCCGGTTGATTTTCCAAAATACGAAATGTATAATCCGGTTGACTAAATTGTGGACAATTATCGTTTATGTCCAAAATCATCACCTGTAAGTAAATTTTAGCACAACTGATATTAACGATTTTTGCGTTATCAAAACAAGATCAGCATTGCAAATTATCGGTTGGCCAAATTGAAAAAAACTGTGTACCCAATCTTAGAACAGTGCAACGATATTTCATGTGAATCGATGCGTTCCGTTTTTGGTTTCCTACTAAGTTACTAACCAGAATCAAAATAAATACCATTCAAGACAATGTAACTGTTATCAAAAGAGCTTAATGAAGAACGGCTCGACTCTACTAGAGTTACGACAGAACTCTACGTTCTAAGCTCTTGAACAATACAACTGGTTTCGCATTTGGTAAGGAGCCCTTATGCATGATAATCATTGACATAATGAACGAGTTGAGCTGATCGGTATACCTAATCTCTTGTCAGAATGCCACCCTAAACCGCTACTTTTAATTCTTGTTAAGTTGTCCACAGTTATGATTTCAGTTCACATCTTACGCTCTTTTTATCATGCCTTCATGCTTCAAGTATACAAACGGGGTTTTGTACCTCGGTGATAAAATAATCACATTTCCCAACACGTTACCTCTGTTACTCACCAGAGTCCAAATTTAGAACTTCCAACTCTCGGCGTGGCTTCGTAGTACAGTTAGTAGAGCGCCCTCCACGTTTAGGCATGCTGTTTCAATCGCTGGTATCAATACAATATCTGGGATATCAATGGCTTGAAGCCACAAAACGCACCATTGTAGGAAATGACTAAAAGACTGATGAACCCTTTCATTCACCAATAAATCAATGAATTACATCAAGCTGTTGATGTCCATAGTGCAGAATTCTGAATTAGAATTTGTAACCACTGAACAAGTTACCCTGATATACTAATTCAATATTACCGGACGAAGCGAACGTATGTCTGCTTGAATTTCATTAGATAACATTGGTGATCGTGATTCCGACAGCGCAAAAGTTAACTTAGACTTTTGACAGTAATTCTATCCATCATGCTTTAATGAGGATAACAGCGGTTCTAAAATAATATTGCGTCTGTTTGTTTGTTCGAATTCTTCTGCACAACATCGTATTAATCAATATAAACGCTGTAGATCGCTTTTGCAGAGTGGCTTCGATTCTAGGAAATAAGTGAGATATGGAAAAGGAATTTTTCTTAATTATTCTTGTTTTATCATTTTAGTATAAGAACGAAAAGTTGTATAAAATAACAGGTAGCGGTATGAATACCACTCACACTGAACCACAAATTCAGTATCGAGATGAATTCACATGGTACCTAATGGTGCAAACATGTAAATCCAATATCCTCTCGTGTAAGAGGTTTTGACTGGTAATTATGGTTGTGCGAATGGGGAAATTAGCTACAGTCTCTTCTAGGAAATTCTAGTTCGCCACACCTCCGACACGAGCACATTGTCCGCATCCTGTATTTGACCAATCAAATAAGTGTCTCCTTACTAGTATGAGAGTCACAGATAGGCTCTTGGCCTAAGAGACAGTAAGCACACTAGGTGAGCCTTAATCATCCAACGAACCCCATCTCCATTGATTTCTTCTCGAACTGTGACAGCTGTGACCATCTTCTAGCGGATTCGAGTAAGACAAACCGACATGGTGTCTATTAATTTTTAGTCGGGGAAAACAGTTCAAAGACGCCTAACCCAACTGAACTCTTATACTGTCCGTCTGTAACGCTCACAGACTTAAAACTGTCAGATGATTAGGATTAGCTTACAAACTAACACGTATCCACAATGGTATCAGAAGAACTTTAAATGAGTTCGTAACTAGGGAGGCCTGGCTACTATCTGCGAAGTGATGGATAAGCCAAACTGGCTAGCCATTTTGACACTTATTCATGGCATTGACAAGTAGTATGGCAGATCTGATAATTTTAGAGAAGACCCAATTGTGGAAAACCTTGATTCCAGGTGGACTAGAACCAATGACAGAAAAAGCATGACCAGATACTACAAGCGCTGTATCAGTTGCGCTATGAAGTCACGCCGGAAGCCTAGAATCTCTACATTTGGACCTACTGAATTTTCTATGTTTCCGGTTTGGCTTCATAGTTCAGCCGGTAGAGAACTTGCCGCATTTGGACATGCTATTTCTTTTGCTGGTTCAAATCTAGTTGAAGTCCAGATTTGTCGCGATTGGGTCTCTGTTAAAATTTGCTGATAGATCATGAGTTCGACTCCCTGGTTTGTGTGCAGCCGATGGGCTCTAACACAATTGAAAGAACTCTCCTCCATTTCATTAATGGATACTGAGACCAAATTCTGGCCGGGCCCTTTATAAACCCATCCATTCCTCACTACACTCTCAGAGCTCGTAAACTAATGATCTAATAAACTAATATCTGGACTATAATTTTAAACCTTAATCACAAAATGCGTGTCTGATTCCACAGCACGTACGACGCACAACAGATCGAAGTAAGTCAAATCGCTCGTGCGCCAGTTCCGTGCTATTCACCGGTGTCAGACTTTTGACATCGCTCACTCTTCATACCCACTTTCAGTAACCATTAAGCCATGCGTGCACAATATTGCATAATACACCTGTGTGTACATTC